ACAAACGTGTTTACTTTCCAAATATTTGGGGATTTTACTGCTTCTCTGTGTGACTCTCTCCATTCTGGAACTCTGTATTGCAATTTCTGGCTGCTTCCCTCTCTAAACTCTTAACTTCTACACTTTCAATTTAGGGAGATTGCTGAGTTGTTTTTACAAGTCCCCTTTAATGAGTTATTTGTGTGACCTCCATCCTATTTTTATACAGTAACCTTGGGCAATCACAGGGTTTAATCATCTGTTTCCTTTTGTTGTCTGTTACTCACTGTCTGAGAAGCACTGCTTCAAGTCTTTTGTCCAGTGTTTGAGTTATTAAAGGTGGCAAGATAAATCTGTCTTTTACTTATGGCTAGCAGTGGAGTCAAAATTAATTTTTATCCACTCATCAGACATCCTTATTATTTACATAATTTGGAACAACAATTATTTTCTTTTAGCCCACTGAAGGTACCATTTCACCGTCTCACTGCTACTGCTGAAAAGCCAAGTCAGTCTTTAACATTCCTTTGACATGTAGTGTGTCTTTTTATTTTCACCTTCTTTTATGATTCTTTGTCTTCTATTTTACACATTTACTTTGAAGACACCAAGCATGCATCTCTTACTCTATCTTCCTTGGAATTCACCATTCATCTGCAATCTGTGGATCAGAGTTTTCCAATAGTTCCGAAGAATGCTCAGCCTTTATCTCTCTGAATAACTTTACCCCTTTCTTTTTTCTAGGACTCTAATCAAACAGACATTAAACATTCTCACTGAATTTCTTTCCTTCTCTTGTATACATTCCGTCTTTTTCTGTGTGTGCTTTATTATGGATAATTGCTTCCAGTTTGTTAATTCTCTTTCCTGCCATGTATACTGTGCTAAGCATGTTCACTCACTTTCAAAACTTTGTTATTTTTCATTTGGAATTCCATTTGGTTCTTCAAATCTACATCACTTTGTAAACACAGTAAGTATAGTTGTTTTAAACACATCTCTGATAATTCCAAATCTAAAGTCTGTGCATATCCTGTTCCTGTAATTTCCCACTTACATTGCCTTAAATTCTTCTGTACTATTATATCCTTAACTCTGTATTCACTGCTCTTACATTTTTGTTTTACAAGACACAAAATAAATATGCCTTCCTTCAGAGAGCTCCTGGAATGGCTTCTGTTAGGTTCAAGGACCACTACCAGTTGGGAACCACCTCAAACTATGTTTGAGTCTAAATTCCCCAATCCACCCAAATTTTGGTGCTCAAGATATAAAAACAATCGAGGGCTAGTCTGTGGCTACAACTTTGAGGGGACCTCTGGTCCTTTTCTCTTCTCTTCTGACAGTCCCTGAGTTTGGGGGTCTCCTTGAGCTTTCTGGAGCCTCAACTTAACATGGAATTTCCTACAGGATCCTCCAATATGATGAATACTTGGCCTTACTTTTGCCCCTTTAATCTATGAGTCTGATTTACCCAAGAGTGAGGCACTAGACATATACTCCAGTCAAAAGTGCCCACTTTCTCTTAAATATTGTATTCATCTCTGGGTTTGAGGCTTTCTCCAAAGCGCTGGCCTTTCAATTCATCATCTTACCTCACCTGTTTTCAAGTGTATATGAAACACACACATACATAAGCAGTCTTGAAAGATCATCAATAGTTATAAAGGGTAAAGTACATGCTAATTTATGGATAAAGAGCCAACTTTATTTAGCATTTAAAAATTTTTTGAATCAGTTCAGTTCAGTCGCTCAGCTGTGTCTGACTCTTTGCGACCCCATGGACTGCAGCACGCCAGGCTTCCCTGTCTGTCACCAACTCCCGGAGTTTGCTCAAACTCATGTCCATTGAGTCGGTGATGCCATCCAACCATCTCGCCCTCTGTTGTCCCCTTCTCCTCCTGCCTTCAGTCTTCCCAGCAACAGGGTCTTTTTCAATGAGTCAGCTCTTTGCATCAGGTAGGCAAAGTACTGCAGCTTCAGCTTCACCATCAGTCCTTCCAATGAATATTCAGGACTGATTTCCTTTGGGACGGACTGGTTGGATCTCCTTGCAGTCCAAGGGACTGTCAAGAGATATCGCCAACACACAGTTCAAAAGCATCAATTCTTTGGCACTCAGTTTTCTTTATGGTACAACTCTCACATCTATACAGGACTACTGGAAAAACCATGGTTTTGACTATATAGACCTTTGTTGTCTAGGTTGGTTATAGCTTTTCTTCCAAGGAGTAAACATCTTTTCATTTCATGGCTGCAGTCACCATCTGCAGTGATTTTGAAGCCCAAGAAAATAAAGTTTAGCACTGTTTCCATTGTTTTCCCATCTATTTGCCATGAAGTGATGGGACCAGATGCTATGATTTTCATTTTCTGAATGTTGAATTTTAAGCCAACTTTTTCACTTTCCTCTTTCACTTTCCTTAAGAGGCTCTTTAATTTCTCTTCACTTTATGCCATAAGGGTGGTGTCATCTGCATATCTGAGGTTATTGATTACTTTTCCTGGCAATCTTGATTCCAGCTTTTGCTTTATCCACCCTGGCACTTTGCATGAGGTATTCTGCATTTAAGTTAAATAAGCAAGGTGACAATATACAGCCTTGACATACTCCTTTCCCAATTTGGAACCAGTCCTTTGTTCCACGTCCGGTTCTAACCATTGCTTCTTGACCTGAATACAGGTTTCGCAGGAGGCAGGTAAGGTAATCTGAATTCCCATTCCAGTTCTAACCATTGCTTCTTGACCTGAATACAGGTTTTGCAGGAGGCAGGTAAGGTAATCTGAATTCCCATCTCTTTAAAAACTTTCCAGTTTGTTGTGATCCACAAGTCAAAGGCTTTAGTATAGTGAATGAAGCAGAAGTAGATGTTTTTCTGGCATTCTCTTGCATTTTCTATGATCCAATAGATGTTGGCATTTTGATCTCTGGTTCCTCTGCCTTTTCTAAATCCAGCTTGAACATCTGGAAGTTCTCGGCTCACATACTGTTGAAGCCTGGCTTGGAGAATTTTGAGCATTACTTTGCTATCATGTGAGATGCTAGCATGTGATTCTTTTAAACAGAGAGGTAAATCAGAATAGTGTGCTACTCCCAGAAACAGGACACTTCTATAGAGTTCTTTTATGTATTAATGCTAAGTATACTGCTTCCTACTGAATCTATTTCTTTTCACTCTTTAGAGGAAATAAATCTTTAAAGAATGTGTAACCAACAGCACAGGGTAAAGACAGGAACTGATCTGACTGTAGCCATCTATATAAGTGAATTAATTCATGTGACAATGCAGTGCCCTTGGATGTGAAATGCAGGTAACAGTAAATTATTCTGATAGCTATTGCTTGCTCTATCATTCTATGAATCTACAAATGCTTCAACACTTCTATTACACCTATAGCAGACCATACTTAACAATAAAACCCCTCTTTCTCACTGGTACAGATATTTCTGTACTACCAGCCTATATCCACTCACTACCAACTAACTGAAGATACCACATATCCTATTCATTATTCCTATAGATCACATCTTTTGAAACATGACTAAGCAACTCTTTCTACTGTGTTATACTACCACTTGCTTTTTGAGGTTAGGTTAAGAATTTAAAACTACTCACACACAAATCATTTCCATCATTCATGATTGTAGAGAATTAAAGTACAGAATCAGATATTCTTCTACTGACAAAAAAAAGGAAATCTTCAGGTAAAATGATCAAGAGTATTATAAGTTCTTTGTAAAAGTACCCTATTGAATATAGTGCTAATAAATAAAAGACAACCAACGGTGTACTTCAGGTCAATAATAAAAATTTAATAGTAATATCGTAAAATAAACAAACATATAAAAATCAATTATTTAGTTCTGGATGTTAGAAATAATATACATAATAAATTCAGCAGAGTACTGATAGCGCTGCAAGATAAGATTTTATGGTTCAAATTATATATTATGTCAATCAGACTGTTTTGTTCTCAGGGTTTCCAATATTCTGCTTTTATTACAAAAAGCATCTGAACTTCAGACATCTCTAATGATGTAATACCTGGCATACTGCCACTGAAGCTGTGTGACCACTGTCTTAATGATCTAACTAAATCTCTTCATAATGTAATTAAAAGAGGTGAACATTTCCCCACTTTGGAATACTAGTTACCAAAACTGTCACAGTGTCAAAATAAAAATGATTCCTTTCTCCTTTTGAATTTCAATTAAAAAGCACATGCATGAGAAAAAGTTGAAAACAAAAAGGGAAACTGTATGCTATATGCTAGGTCAATGCTCAAGTCCACAGACTAAGTTTAAAGGTAAACTTCCTGGTTCTGGTCCTCAAGTAAAAATGGAACTAATGAACCAACTTCTTAATTATCAGGAAATAACATGTTAGCTACTCGTTCATAATCAAATCTTTCAATGATTTCTAAGACTCTTTCGGTATCCTGTTTTGGTTGAGCTAGTTCAGGAAACACACTGGTTGAAAAAGGATTGAGAAAATATGTTTTAAGGCTGAAAGTTCCATCTTTGAAAAATAAAGATTTAAGTATAGCCCTTGAAAAGGTTATTTAACCCAGAATTGCTGGACATGACAAGTAGAGAGACAAAAAGAGTCATGCTTAAATGCATAAATGAAAAACTGTTGGTAGGTCTTTCAAAACAGAAGTAATTCTTCCAACTCAAAGACATCTGCTGAAAGTCAAAGTTACCCTGCTACACGATTCATCTTCTTCAAAGCCACTGAGTCAAGTCAGGATCACTGTGTCTTAAAATTTTGGCTGGATGACTTAATAAAATACATATTCTGTAAGAAGTAACTGTAACTCAACAAACAAAATAGATATAAAACTAGAATCTTAATTGAAAAATGGCATGTTTCTCCATCATTTTCATGCAGTCAGCATGCCCATCTGAAATCTAATATTTCATTTGTAAAAACTGCTACATTTCCCCTGAAGCTTGTTATTCTGATGAACCAAAAGTTAAATGCTTTCATTCAGTTGATGGTTAATGAAAGTTCTGAGGATTATTCATCATTATCTGTAGAAAAAGGAGAAAAATTTAACTTACTCACTGAAAATCAAGCTCTGTGTATTTACTTGGTAAAAAAGTCATTTTTTGGTCACGCTAAAGAAAAAGAGCCTTAATGTATGGAGTTTTTATTATAATATCTCACACTCCTTATAAAACATGCAAATAATACAATAGAGAATTAAGTGGGAAGCAAAAATCACCTATAAGCTAAAGACAACCGGCTAATAATTTTATATAAAACTTTCCAGATTGCTTTACTATGCATACACAAATATGCTTTAAAAAATTACAACAATGCGGTTGTGAGACATGACTTTTTGCTTTTAAAACACATAACGGATGGAAAGATGGATAAATAAGTGATAAAGGAAGATTATAAAATGCTAATGGCAGAATCTAGGTGGTGGATATATGTGTGGTTAACTGTAAAGCTGTTTCAACATTTTCGTATCATAAAAATTTTACAATGAAGCTTTGAAAAAGAATAAATCATGGGTAAATTCCATTACAGTTTCAATGGCTGTGTAGTATTTTTTGGATATAGTGTATTTAAATTAACCATTCGTGTTCAAAGACATTGTGGTTATCTCCAATTTTTCATGAGCCTAAAAAACACTGAGGAATAAGTAAAACAGACTGCTTAATTTAACCTGAAGGATGAAGAGTCTGAATATGAACAAAACTAGTTTGATACTCTCCACAGATTCACTCAAATGCAATCATTTTTCTGGCCTCATGCCATAAACTTCCACATGCCATATTATGGAAAGGGCCCCATGAGATCCAAGTATTGTAAACGTTACTGAGAATGCTTTCAGTCTATTATAGGACTGTTTCATAAAATGGAGTTCAAGATCTCAAATAAGTCAAGAATATACAAGTGTCAGATAATGTTTATATTTCATTTTGATAAAAATAATTATTTATATACAGAAAAAAACCACATGTTCCATAACAGTAATTCACAATGGACAGACATTTTCAAAGACATCTTAGAGTTTTTCACTGAGGTCTATGGACTTAGATTCCTGGAGTCTGAAAAAGTATTTTCCTTTTTAGAGGAATTCACATGTTACTTCAGTTGGAGGAACACTATCATAGTTTGCTCTTTTCAAGAATCACTGGACATTTTTTCTTGTTTCAATTCCAGGAAACACTGTCATCTGAGTAACTGACACATTTTGTCTCAAGTAATTACTAATTAATTAGGTTTCCTGCTTTGCTACCAAGATTAGCACCAAACTGGTGAATTATTTTCCCAAACTGTAGAGATTCTTTGACTATGAGCTTGTGTTCCTACTTCAACTTGGCTTAATATTATATTGCTTGCACTCATTTGCCTAATATGTTGACTTTTCCAAACACCTGTTTTCAACTTACTTTCATCTTCTTCTCAATGTATGTATGTGTATATATGTATATATATGTAGGCACATACAGTGTACTATATATAATGTAGTCAAACCTCTTTTGGCTGAACAAGATGAAATATAAATAAATCTTATTAAAATTTCTACTGACAAATAAAGCACCAACATTTTAAATCCTCAACTTCTGTCTACAAATCATACCTTTAAAGTAATAATATTAATTTTAACAAATATTTTTAGAAACGAATTCTTGTCTAAAACAGGCGTCCCTTGTGGCTCAGCTGGTAAATAATCTGCCGACAATGCACGAAACCTGGGTTTGATCCCTGGGTTAGGAAGATTCCCTGGAGAAGGGAAAGGCTACCCACTGTATGGTACATGGGGTCGCAAAGAGTTGGACACGACTGGGCTACTTTCACTTTCACTTTCTTGTTCAAAATATTCAGAATCAGTTTATAAACTCACTATAAAAGTTAGGCTCATTACGGCATGGTAAGATACTTAAAACAAAAAGATCACATATTATTTATCTTGATTACCTACTTCATTTACTAAACTTGATTGCAAGTAACTTTAAGATTTCTCAAAAAAATTGAAAGCTCTCAGAATGGATGTGTATCAAGAAAGACAATCAAAAGAATATAGTATATAAGATGTCAGGGAATTTATGAAAGAGAAGTTTCAAGATATTCTGTGTAATGGAGTATTTTCATTAGAGTAAGTCAGTATCTCTGCTTCGAAGACAGTAAACATTCATTTGGATAAGTACGTTCTTATATTTTTTTCCCCTAAGTGGTATTATTGTCCATTGACTTCTTTTTTTAATAAAGAAGTGAAGTGAAGTTGCTCAGTCGTGTCCGACTCTTTGCGACCCCATGGACTGTAGCCCACCAGGCTCCTCCATCCATAGAATTTTCTAGGCAAGAGTACTGGAGTAGGTTGCCATTTCCTTAATAAAGAAGAGATCCCTTAAATTTCTGTTGACAGGTTTCATAGCAACCACCGTGAGTATGAAACATGATTCTGTTTGTGCCTGTCTATCTGTGATAATTCTTAACTACTACATAATGAGGCACACAGGTAGCACGAACTGTTATAAAGGAAGCTGGTTTACATTCAATTGGTTCCTTGCTGCTAATGGCCTGAACGTCTCCCTGGCAGTTACTCTCTGGGCTTATGAAGCAAAGTAATGAAAACGCAGTGGGTTTTAAAGCTGTAAGAGTACTTACTGTACCTGAAAGATTTTCTAGTTTCGATTTAACAATAACTATTAGAATTTTAACAAGACTTTTACCTCCATTAAAGCAATTCAAGGAAGATTTTTTGCTGAGCTTATTATAGTCAATGTAAATAAGTCTACATAAAGTCTCTCCCAAAATAAAACACTCCTGAATTCTGATTTTAGCAAACTTAATTTTTCATGAGTCCAAGTATCACATATTTTAATGAAATCCTGCCTCTGAAATATGTCATCTGAGCACCCCTCCGAACATGCAGTCCAGGTTTTCACCTCCTCAAGACCAAATACCTCTACCGTTTCCATCAAGTGCTCCTGCCCATCTCGCCACAGCTGGCAACACACAACACCATGGCCAGACTTCTCACCAAAGTGCTTCTTCCACTACATTCTCCTTTCACTTCTAAACCCTTCACTGGTTTCATCCATGTGTCTTAAACATGTCACAGTGTCTCATCACAAAGACTAATTTTCCACAGGAAGCTCCTAGTATGGTCAGTCTATCCTAACACAGTAACTGCTGTTTTGTTCTTTTCCCCACAAGTCACATCCTCTACATCTCTTTTCATTTCTCCCAATCTAACCTCCCTTCTCTAGTCCCTACTGCACTGAAAACATTTCAGAATGAGCATTTTATGTATGGCTTTACACCGTCTTTCCTATGTCTTTTTCCTAAGGAAATGGTACACAACATATAAGCAGACCATGCCCTTCACTGGCCACAAAAATGAAGTGCCAGGCACCCAGGAGCCTCCATAAACACTCTGAAAACCCACCACAGTGCATGAGATGGGAGATCATGCTCCATCTGAGAGCAAATGAAACAAATTTGAGACAAAATAAATCGCTTCCTGTTACATGACCAGCTTGTCATAGAATCAGGACTATAACTCTGGTCTCTAGATTCAATGCTTAGTGCTATACCATGACCAAGTGAATGAGAAAAAATATTCTTTAATAACTTTTAATAAAGTCAACACATTGTGATTCTACAAGTAAATATTTTTGAAATGTAAAAATGGTTTATACTCAAATCATGATAAATGAACTGCACTTACTCTCAACAAAAGACATTACATTTCATACTATTTAGGAGAAATTTTACATATGTGTCTAAAAATGTAATTCCATCTCCTTGATAAGAAAGTATTCTAATTTCTAGAGCTGTCCAAAAAGGAGGCTTTTAAAAAAATCTCAATTCAAATGTTACTTGCAAATTAAATTATTGACTTAAAAAACAGGTCAATAAAAGTTTATCCCAGGATCCAAGTAACTGTATCCTTTATAGCTAATTGCTTAAAAGTACTAGATGTTAATATAATTCCAATACAGATTTCACAAAATGCATGTGATATAATCTAATCAATTTACATTTGTCATTTCATTTTTTGCACATTTATTTAAAACATAAGGATGTGAGGAAATCTTACCTTCTTGATAGGCTCCATCTGCCATGACTAAATGAAGAATCTTGGCATAAAGATGCTGATGTTCATTTCCCAAAATATTCTGAACTATTGTTGAACAAATCTCAATATTTTCATCTTCGTCTTCATGAACAGCCTATACCAAATTTCCAAATACAAATATTTGAATGTTCATCTTCTCTAATTGGAGACTTTATTATTTTCAGTAAGTCTACTGATCAATAAAAATCACTGCCATTTCACTACTAATTCAAACACAGAATATTTCAAAATTAAATTAAATGTTTTGGCTGATATTTTTACTTGCCTTTATTTTTTCATAAACCTCAAAGAACTTTTCGAAGCCTATTTCCTGTTCCAGGTGAAGTCTCAGTTCCTCTAAATGATTAAAGACACTATCATATTCACATTCACTAGTTATCTCCCCATCACTGTTATCTAAAAAACATAAATAATAAGAAGACATTTCATGATTTAAAAGACTGAATAAAATAATTCTTGCCATAACTTATTCAACTCCCATTATAAGGGAATACTGTCATTGGGATAGACTACTTGTATTTTCAATAGTAAGTTTCTGTCACTATAATACTAGTCATGTATATAGTTAACCAACATATGTATATATAAATGTCTTAATAACAATGATACTTTCGAAATGTTTTCTTTCACAGACATAAGCAGTAAATCAGGTTAAGAATAAGAACATTCTAAGAGATGTCAGCTACTTGAGTTTTTAAAAAAAGGAAGACGCATACCCATATATTCTATACTAAGGCAACCAATCCTAAATACTATTTTTAAAAACTTGGTATTAAATATGGGGCAAAACATGAAAGAACATGCAGATGACATAAGATATGTATCATAAAACTTGGAAGGCATCTACAAAGGATTATAAATGCTTTATTAGTTTTATGTCATGTACATGCTCAACCAAAGTAATTTGAAAAATTCTAAGAAAAATTAATACAATATTATTCCTTTACACATTATCTCTTCTTTCCAAATAAATCATTATTTAAATACACAATTTTTCTGTGCATCTTAGGGTCAATGATATGAATAAGGAACTATTTTCAAATCAAAAACAAAGTATCAAGGTTTTAAAAATTGCTTTTAGTTTAATCCTGCTGGTTGAGCACTATATGTGGAAGCCCTTTGTAAAACACAAACAGCTAAGAAAACTAAGTTACCATCTTTATAACCAGGAAAATAAGTCAAGAAGTGAAGAATAACAGAATAAAAATGCTTCAAAAAAGCATTTCCATACTTTGTTGTTGTTATTGTTTACTCACTAAGTCATGTCCAGTTCTTTGCGACCCCATGGACTATAATAGCACACCAGGCTCCTGTCCATGGGGTTTCCCAGGCAAGAATACTGGAGTGGGTTACCATTTCCTTCTCCAGGGGACCTTCCTGACCCAGGGCTGGAACCCACGTCTCCTCCACTGGCAGGTAGGTTCTTTAGCACTGAGCCATATTTTAGTGGAGAAGAAATGGAGCAACAATGCATGCACACTGTGAGAAAGAGAGTGAGCAGAAGTCAGGGATGCAGAGCAGAGTCAGCCCTATTCAAGCCTGGAAGTGGCTCGCATCAGAGGTCAGAAAGAGACACTGTTCGACGTCAGGGCCACCACGCACCCGAGTGCCACTCCTCGTTGAGGGCGCTCTCGCTGCTGGGGTTGTCATCCTCCTCGCCCACGTCTGTGCCATTGGCGGCCTGCTCAGCATCATCACTGGTCTTGATGCCCGACTCTTCCTCTTCGCTGTAGTCCTCCCCTGGCTGCTCCCGCAGCAGCTGCTCCATGGAGGCCTGGAGCTCCTGTAAGTCTGCATCAGCCTCTTCAAACACACTGAAATTGAAAAGTTAAAATATCACTAAAACTTTTATTTATTTTGAAATTTTACTTCAACTCAATATGCACACACTCCTTTCCATTTAAAAGTACTCATTGTGATCTGAAAAACACCTATTAGTAGTATTTAACAAAGGAAACAAGTATTCACACAACTGATAAATAAAGTATACAATACATGTTCTGGAATACATGAGCCAAAAGATGGCTTATAAGCTGTCCTGATTTGTCAAAGAGAATCATGTAACTATCAACATTATTAACTCCTTAAGTTTAAAAAAAATGTTTCAACATTTAAGGGCCAGACTAAATATTCTATTTTCATATAGTTTTAAAGATTCAGCAAAATTTTGGTGTGGATGTATGACAGCTATGCACCAACCTCACTGGGGTGGGGGTGAGGGGGTCATGCCCTCTTCTCCTTTCATTCAATTACAAAAGTGGAAATGAACTGATTTACACAAGTAATACCTTACATTCATATAATACCTTAATTTCTAAAGCAGTTTATCCTATTATTTAAATTTTATCCACACAAAACTCACTTCAGAGGCATGAGAATTATGAATCAAAGTGCTCAAGTGACTTGTCAAAGCCACACAGTCAATAAATGACAAATATGAGACTTAGTGCTAGGCCTTCTGCTCACTTCTACAAGACCCCAGAAGTACTCAGCAACTCCATTCCTGAGGAGCTGCTCTCTCTACCTGAGGCAAGCAAATGGAAAAACCTGTGGACTAAGAGTTAATTCGAGAGCTAGATGCATGAAGTCCTCTGAAAGATGAGGGACCCACATTGAGGATTTCAACTTGCAGAAAAGCAATATTAAGCAGAACACAAGACTGATAAGGGCCTTTCTTAAAGTTTAGACTCTAATGAAATAAACAAGTATTTACTGAAGAACTAAAATAATATTATTATGAGACCTTATACAAACTTTCATTAACAGAAAAATAATTTTTAATGCAGAAATACCTTTATTTTGTACTTATGTGTACAAACGCCTACACTTTGACATTGCAGCAGCTACAGAAAAGCAAACATCATGATCTAATCAGAATGAGGAAGAGAAAGAGTGTCTAATCTTTTGGCTCATGCTTCTCAGAGCATTTAGCTTAGCATTTCATTATCATACTAACACACCATGCACATCTGCTAGGTACCACTGCAGTACAGGGGACTCTCAAGAGTCTCCTCCAACACCACAGTTCAGAAGCATCAGTTCTTCGGCACTCAGCTTTCTTTATGGTCCAACTCTCACACCCATACATGACTACTGGAAAAACCATAGCTGTGACTAGATAGACCTTTGTTTGCAAAGTAATGTCTCTACTTTTTAATATGCTGTCTAGGTTGGTCATAGCTTTTCTTCCAAGGAGCAAGTATCTTTTCATTTCATGGCTGCAGTCACCATCTGCAGTGATTTTGGAGCCCAGGAAAATAAAGTTTGTCACTGTTTCCATTGTTTCCCCATCTATTTGCCATGAAGTAATGGAACCGGATGCCATGATCTTAGCTTTTCGAATGTTTAATTTTAAGCCAAGTTTTTCCTTTTAACAAGAAGATTAAGATCTTTTATGATACGAGCACTGAAAAAATTGTCTCGGGGACTTTAAAATCTGGTCTTGAATTTTCTTTTTAGTAGATTTTCTGGATAACTGACCATATAAAGTTTGGATCAAGAAATATGTTTCCCAAATAAAAATGTCAAGTGAAATTTCCCTATTTCTAAGAGTAACTTTCTTGGAAAAAACTTAATTTCCAAATTTTCAAAATAATATTAAAAGCTTCTAACTTTAATTTGAAAATAAAATTGTTATCAACCAGTAATTAAAAGAATATCCACAAATAAGCTATAGCTACTCAGATAGAAATTGATTACTTACAAAAATTTTTTGGAAAAATACTGTTTCCCAGGATTTTGTCAACCACAGAGGTGCTGAAATGTTGCCCTGTTCTCCAACTGGCTTAATAAAAATACAACATAAAGTGCTTAATGAGCAACCATAGCCAAGCAGAAGCAAAGATAAAAAGGTGACTTTTCCTCCAAATTTTGAGGGTATCAGCTAAAATCTACAAAACTCTATGTGAAAAAAAGTCAACTTTTATTTTTTGCTTGCTATGTTGCATGGCTTGTGGGATCTTAGTTTCCAACCAGGGACTGAACCTTGGCCCCTGGCAGTAAAAACGTGGAGTCCTAACCACTGGACCACCAAGGAATTCAAAAGTCAACCTTGAAAAGATAAAGTCTGGTTAGAAATTTAAAAACTAACAGGCAAGCCTTAAGAAAAACAAAAACAGCAAAGAAAAGGCATCAGATACAGTGGTCTTGGCTCAAGAATTATAGGGAGAAAAACTGTGAATCTGGTACCAAGCTTTCAATCAGATCAAAACACACCTTTCTGTGGAAAGGCAGACGTAAAAAGGAGAAACTTAAATTCCATGGGGTCATAAAGAGTCAGACATGACTGAGCGACTGAACTGAACTGGACTGAAATTTCAAAAGATCAAAAAATAAATCATAAAAACAATAACATCTGGCAACCTACTTTCCTGGTGACTTGAACACACTTCTCGACCTCTGGTTTTATTTCCCCAAAAGGTCAGCACCATGTGTCAGATGGCTGAGCAGGCTGACTGACATCAGGGGAGGTGACGGGTATTACTGTCTAAGTGCTGCCAGCTCTTGCTGCTTTTAGAAGTGTCGGTTAAATTTTCCTCCGGGCTTAAGTAAGATTCATCAGGAATCAATAAGGGGGGAATTTTGCGAAAGCAATTAAGTTACATGTAGAACTCACATGTGAGTATGTGTGTGCACATGAACACACACACACACCCCTATTCCACCTGCTAACTTCCCCCTGCTGTGGTTTGGAGTCACACCCAGTGGAGATGTGTGGACAGAGCTTTCTGGCATCTCCCTGGGGAAGAGCAGTGAGCTCTTTCCAGTTTCCCACTGCAGTCCCTGCACCATGTGGCCTCACACTACAAACAGCCTCACCTTGCTGACTCAGTGAAGCACCAGCCACGTCAAGCATTGTGATGGGTGCTTAGGGGCCAATAACACAGAGAACTTCCCAGTAGTCCAGTGGCTAAGAATCCACTGCCAATGCAGGTGACACAGGTTCAGTCCCTGGTCCAGGAAGATCCCACATGCAGTGGAGCAACTAAGCCCATGCGTCACAGGAGATGCGCCCTGAGAGGCCATCTCCGTAAGAGAGGCCCCTGAAGTGAGACGTCCTCACACCTCAGGGAAGAGTAGCCCCTGCTCGACCAGTGAAAGCCCATGAGCAGCAACTAACACCCAGCAAGGGCAAAAATAAATGACATTAAAATCAATGAATAATTAATTAAAATTAACAAATAAAAAATAAAATTAAAAAGAAAAAGGAGAACACAATGGTGACCATGTCCTTATATTCCTCAAGTGAAGTTAAGTTATAGTATTTAGAGGCAGACACACATAGTAAAGTTTACTTCACTGTACTTTAAATACGTTGTAAAAATTAGTGAAAGGTCAGCTATAGATCTTGCTTGAGAAGTGTGTCACCCCTCTCCAGAACATGTGTACATTCAGAAATCCTGTTAGAGTTGGTATCTAAAGGTAATTGTGCTCACATGTCCTCAGAGTCCGACGGTCCTTCCTTAACATGCTCATCTTCCATTTCAAGATTGTCCTGACGTCCATCTCCCACAGTGGGGACATCCATCAGTGTTCTGAACAGTTTGGAGAGGTCTGGAAGTGAACATGTCCTCAACATCTGAAGAAAAGGAACAGATTTCTTATTAGGAGTGAGACAGTGAGAAAATTAAAATGAGAGGAAAAAATTAGAAAACTGGAGCTAGTAATACTCTTGTTATTTATATATATATATATGTGTGTGTATATGCATCAACTACCCGTTTAGAGCTAAAAGCTTCTCAATCTATGCCGAGAATCTACTTCTCTTAAACTTTAGCTCAGTATTTTAGCAAAGATCAAACTAAGCCTAAGTTCCACTTGGGTTTCTCTGAGAAGTGGCCTTCACAAGTCACAGAGGGTCTTTGTCTGGGAGCGCATGTGGGGTGGAGCTGGAGCTGGGGCAGGACTTTCTCACTCACAGCTCTCCATCCCTCTGCCACGGCATGTCTGCTGATTCTTCCTTTCAATTTCTGAAAAGTACACTGTCCAACGTGCTCTGTGTGCTTTCGTCCACACTGGCTAAGCACCATCCCACACAAACTGGTTGCCCTTTCTATTACTTTACCTTACTGGTCAACACTGATTAAATCAGAAGTCTTCAATTAGAGCAAAGAAGTTCCCACTATTGCCTCCCTGAGCAATGGACTGTGAGTGGTACCCTTCCTGCCAGAAGAGACGGCTGGGAAGACAGGCACTCGATGTTCATGCTGAGGAGCGCCGGGAGCAATGGGGTGGAGAGGAAGTGAGCGCACTGAGGTGAGGAAGAACAGCACAGGGGAGGCACTTGAAGTGTGTGTGTGCTGCACACGGCCAGAATGACAGCAATAGCCCTGTCCAGCGCTCTCAGCAATCAGAGTGAAGGGCAGACAGGGCTATGATACACACCCCTAGACAAGTCGGTCTCGGGGCTGGGTCAACCCTACGGGAAGCTGTAAGGCCTGAAACATGGCTGGTAAGGCCCAGATAAGATCTAAACACCAGATGGGAGACTATGCAGAACACAGAGTGTTAACTGAGTAAGAAAGTGTATGCACTTGGCCAAATCTACCGGTACAAACTGCTTTTGAGAATAAAAAAGGATAGATTTCTATTATTTGAAGATAATTTACATATTACAGAACGCAAGGGGAAAAAAAATGATTATGTGGTACAAGATGGTACAGGTACACTGCCTGGTTAAAGTATTTAACAATGGTACTGTCAGCAGAATTTACACTTGAGTTCCTTGTTCTTCCAATGGTTTGAGCCACGTATATCAGAAACCCAGAGGCTACAAAACATGCAGCCAGTAACAGTTTACCCAGATACACGCTGATCAATAAAAACAAACAGCATATATGCATTATATATATAAATACAAGGGGACCACACAAAGGGATACAGTATTTTTTAAGCTGAAATAAATTTTAGCCCTGGTAAAATCACCTCAATTCTAGTTTCCTTCACTAGAATAAACTTCATTAAATAAACTTCACAGCCCAACACAAAATAACAAAATTAGAAAGAAATTTCAAGTGGTATGTACCTCTCGGAACAGGTTTTACACACTCATCAATCCAATAGTTCCTACAGGTCCTGTATTTAAAATCCTAATATTCACAGTCTTTTCTGACAGACTATTAATGTTTCAGATAGGATATTCACCTTCATACAGAAGAATTTTATATAAGAACACTTTCAGTTCTGTAATTCTGAGTCTACTAGATCTTTTTCATACTGTTTCAATAATAATTTATAGTTCTGACATTCACAGAAAGAAATCCTCCTGAAAATAGCTACTATTCCAGAATATGTTGCCTGAAATCTTACTTCATTTCTAGTTAGACTAATTTTTCCACAATTTTTTGTAGCATAATTTTGCAGCAAACATTTGGTACCACTATAAATCCTCTCAGATTGTGAGAAAATCTCATCTTTATGGAAAACAAAGTTTTAGAAAACCTCAAAACATTTTTAAAAATGCAGTTCTTTTAGATTTCTCGTCCTTGGTTCTATTTTTTCTTGACAATGAAGACAACCATGTAAAAAGTGAATGAATTAAGTACTAGTTGCACTAATTAGAACTTCACATGAAATGCTACTTAATTCTATCAACTCAGTTTTTCATCTGTAGTATTTCATATAAAATTATGTATTAGTCTCCAATTATACTACAAAATTGTTCATGATGAGCACATTTGTTTAACGTCTACCTACTGCAATTCACTATAACACTAAACCCTCAAAATAGCTTCTACAAATATTTGCTCACTTCAACCCATAAACAAGGCTAAAAATGGAATTAAAACATTAAAACATTATGAACATTTAACCAAGGCAGAAATTATGGACATTATCTAAGAACTGACAGTTTAGCAAATCAAAAGAAGACATTTAAGGCACTTGTGCTCTTTGTGAACTGTACATTAATACTTCCCCCGACTGTGTATTTGCTGTACCAAGGCAAGAAATTCTCAAGTTTTTATAGAGATCAGTCTTCCACTCTACTCCCCATTTGAGAAAGTGTCAGTGGAACACATCTGGTCTCTCTCAACCCCTTATTCACTACTCCATTAGATAAGGAAGGTCGAGTGGTAAGGACAAGCAGGTTTACCACTGGGCAAGCTAGTGTCTATCCTTATGTACCTCAGATTGCGAGATCTCATCTTTATTTATTTTTTTTCCCATTTATTTTTATTAGTTGGAGGCTAATTACTTTACATCATTGCAGTGGTTTTTGTCATACATTGAAATGAATTAGCCATGGATTTACATGGATTCCCCATCCCGGTCCCCCCTCCCACCTCCCTCTCCACCCGATCCCTCTGGGTCTTCCCAGTGCACCAGGCCCGAGCACTTGTCTCATGCACCCAACCTGGGCTGGTAGATTGTGAGATCTCATCTTTAAACTACTTTACCTTGACCCATTACAAATTTACCTTCAATAATCATTTATGTGTTACACTTTCAATTCTATAGATACTCTGTTACAATTGTCTTATGAAAGCTGCCACTTTATATATGGTGTTTCCTGTCAGAAACAATGCAGCCCAGAAGACAATGTAAGTCTAGATCTAGTGGAAATGCTCCTTCAAAGTAAAAGTGAAACTAAAATGCTTTTAAATAAACAAAAGTTGAAAAAAATTCATTACCAACAGGGCTACCTACGAGGTGTTCAAAGAACTTTTTAAAGTGATAGAAAAATAACATGTATGTGCTCAGTCACTCAGTTGTGTCTGACTCTGTTGAAACCCCATGGACTGTAGCCCTCCAGACTCCTCTGTTCATGGGATTTCCCAGGCAAGAATACTGGAGTAGGTTGCCATTTCCTCCTCCAGGGGATTCTCCTGACCCATGTATTGAACCTGCATTTCTTCAAATTCTACAGTAAGTGATGAAGAATGGTTAATATGTAAATATAAAAGACTTCCTGTCATAATATTAACTTTCTCTAAAAGATAATTGAATGTTTAAAGCAAAAATATAGAAATGTACTGTGGAATTTATCATACATACAGAAATAAAAAACATGACAATTCCACAAAGGACAGGCAAGAGAGTGGAAATGGAAATGTACTGTTGTAAGATTCTGATGCTATAAATGAAGTGGCATAATATTATTTGAATAGAGACTGTGATAATCTAAAGATGTATACTGAAAATTGAGAAGTCTACCAAAAGCAAACAGTAGAGATAAAAAACTAAAAAACTCAATCAAAAAGGGAGAATAAAAGCAAAAAAGGAACCAAAAAGAAATGAGACAAATAGAAAACAAATAGCAAAATGATGTTTAATTCAATCATATTGATAATGTCAAAAATTACATTAAATATAAATGACCCAATCACTTTGATTAAATGACTATCATATGGTTAATAAGCAAGACTCAATTACATGACAACTACAAGAAAGCTATATGAAATAAGTCTGATGGAAAGGATGTACGGACTTCCATGGTGGTCTGGGGATTAGGAATTTACCTGCCAATGCAAGAACACAGGTTTGATTCCTGGTCTGGGTGGATTCCACATGATGTGGAACAACTAAGCCTGTGTGCCACAATTACTGAAGCCTGCTTGCCAGGAGCCCATGCTGTGCAACAAGAGGCCACTGTAATGAGAAGTCTACAAACTGCAAGGAAGAGTGTCTCCACTCACTGCAACTAGAGAAAGCCTGTGTATGGCAACAAAGCCCAGATCACACAATAAGTAAATAAATAACCTTACACAAAAATATAAATTAAAAAATAAAGGATGTAAAAATCTATTCCTTGTAAACACTAAGCATTAGGAAGCTAGAATGACTATATATTAAAACCAGGAGGCAAAGTACATTTCAGAACAAGGGGGTAGGTCTAGGGATAGACTGAGTCATTTCATAATGATAAAGGGGTCAATTTATTAAGAAGATATTATTAATTTATATTCAACTGACTGGAAATTTCAACAGTGCTTTCCCAGTAATTGATAAACAAGGAAGGATATAGAAGACCTGAATCACACTTTCCCACAGAGACACTTCCTAACAATAAATGTATCAATTCATCCAGAAAACTAAATTCTTACTCACTCAATAACAGAGCTTCAAAATACATAGAGCAAAAGCTGACAGGACTGAAAGAAGAAACACATAATTATCCAAGTGTAGTTAAAAATTTCAATAGTCTATTCTCAGCAACTAAGAGTTAATGTGAAAGTATTAAAGACCAAAAAAAAAAAAAATCAGTAAAGACAAAGAAAGCATGAACACTGACACTGGACTTAATTCTTGACATTGACAGAAGAATCTACACCCTCTTAAGGAGATCTGTTAGTAGCAGTCACTGCAGCAAAGGAAACTGGAGACTGACGCAAGATATGCCAGAAGGCAACAAATAAAATAATTACAAAAGAAGAGTGTATTTCAACTGTTGAAAGAAAAGGGCATAGGATATCTGCTGCTAAGTGATGATCTTGGCAGCAGCAGCTTCAATGGAGTGGCTCACAGCCACACTATGATATACTGGGAAATGAGCGGAGGGGAAAAAGCAAAGACACATCAAAGAGCTGTGGGATGTGAGATGAGGAGGCTGTGAGCTCACGGAAGTTTACCATTCACTATGGGAACCATCAGAGCATGTGTGCAGATGGAATGGCCCATCTCAGAGAAAGAAGTACACGACACAGGCCAGAGAAGAAAAAAGAGGCTGAGGGAGGTTAAAAGATTAAGAAGGATTTCCTTTAATAGAAAAAAGGACACAAACACAGAATGACTTAACATTGAAAAAAAAGAACTTTGGGGAATTTCCTGGCAGTCCAGAGGTTAAGGCTCCCTGACGCCACTGAAGGGGGGCACAGATTCTATCCCTGATCAGGGGACTAAGATCCCACATGAAACATGGCACGGTCAAAAAGTAAAAAAATAAATAGATAAAAAGAAAAATACAGTCAATATTATAGTTTATCAAAGAAAAATAATAAATGTGAAATGCTATCAAATGGACAGTTTTCCATTTGAGGAGCATACTTGCCTTTGGGTTGTTTGCATCAAACAGACCAGTTGAAAGTCCAATCAGCAAGGAATTCTGTTTTTTATTTCTTGGTGGTGAATCAGAGTGAGATCGAAGTGGAAAGGATTCTTCTGGTGAACAGAGAACTGACTGAACCTGAGAACCTGCTTTCAGATGCTCAGAATAAACCACTTTATGGAAAAATGGTTCCAGTTGCATAGATTTATCTATATCATGCTTAGAGGGTGGAGAATCATCCACTCCAGGTTCTGTGGAATAAAGGAAAGATTACATGAACAGTCTATACAATACTCAGCTTTCTAAGTGATAATGAAAAAGTTCAGTATTTAACATGAATTATAGGTAAGAAACTCCATGTCTATCAGAAAAACAAAGTCAAAATATATATGTGATTTCACTACCTTACAAATAATCTTCGACCCCAGGGTATGTTTTATTATCAGAAAGGAGATTTAGTTTGTTACATACTTCCATTATATCGGAAGTTAGAAAATGTAGACACAAATCCAAGGACATGTGAGAAAATACTGTTTAAACACTCATATTTAACAGATCCAGTTTAACTTCATTCCTATAGGTAAGATATTAAAAAACTGTACTTCTTATATTTTAATTAATACTATTAGAAATAAGAAGACCACTTATTTAATGTCCTCAGATAATGGCTTAGCTTTGGCAAACAATTCTTTTTGTTTTGAACACTCAGCAAGAAAACTGATCAAAAAGGTTTTATTGCCCACACTGACAAACAATACAGGTTTACAAATGCAGAGTACAGCAACCATAAAAAAGAATAAAATCCTGACATTTGCAGCTACATAGATGGATTCAGAGAATATAATGCTTAGTGAAATAAGTCAGATAGAGAAAGATTAATACTGTATGATATCATTATATGTGGAATCCAAAAAATAATACCAATGAATCTATATACAAAATAGAAACAGACTCACAGACATGGAAAACAAACATGTATAAAGCAAAAGGGAGAGGGATGGGGAGGGACAAATTAGGAGTATGGGATTAATTAGTATTAATTATAATAATTATACAACTATTGTAATAATTATATAGATATTAATAGTGATATATTTTATAAATCATTAACAATTATTATTTATTTTGTATTCTGCACAAAATAAATAACAAGGACCTACTGTCACACAGGAACAATTCCCAGTATCTTGTAATAACCTATAATGGAATCTAACCTGCAAATTTAAAAAAAATGAATCACTAGGCTATGCACCTGAAGCTAATATAGTATTATAAATCAACTATACTCCAAAAATGTAATAAAAAATAAATACAGAGTCCAATGCACTATGTCTATAACATTTTTTAAGTGATTAAGGTGAATGATAAGCAATGCTCTCTATTAACATACAGTCCAAATGGAACAGGTTAGTGCTAACAACCTTCAAGAAAGTAATCAGGCCAATGCTGTGATGCTCACCTACGTGAACCTCACTAACGTGATCCACACTGCTCGGGGCTTTATCTTCAGAAAGTTCATTTTGCTGAATGGTGATCCTATCTTCCAACCTGCCATAAACAGATACACCAATTAGAAAAACAAAATTTACCTGCAATACAAGTACTCTCAAACACAGACAAGTAGAGCACAGGTCACTAGCGTCCTGTGATCCCACTTCCAAATATTATTCTCACTTACAGTGGCCCTCACAAGCACATCCTACCCTTCAGTTGTTCAAGCCTCCACCAGTCATGCTCATTCATGACACCAGCCTCCACATTCTCATCACAATGGTTCCCAAAGTGAAGCCCCTAGATGCCAGTAACACATGGGAACCTGTCTGGAATGCAAATTCTCAGGCCTTGCCCTAGCCCTGTGTGTTAGGAACTTTGAGGGATATGGCTGAGCAAACTGTATCCCTTTAGAGCAAAATGTATCCCATTATAGCAAAATGTTGTAATGTTTAAGAACTGCCATTTTAATGAATCAAAATGCCTCCTAATAGCAGAAAACAGAACACGATTATAAGATACTAATACCATGAAATACTTTGCAACTATTTAAAAAACAAAGTACAGATCTGTATAACCGGATATGCATCAAGGGTCAAGATATATTATTAAGTAAGTAAAGTAACTTTCAGACCAAATGATATGTTAGATTTGAAACAACGCTGTTCAGCACAGTAAAATAAAAAGAATAGTTTGTATAAAAATGTTTTAACTCTTAAAGGGAGTGAACTGATTTATGTAAAGAACTCATAATTTTTCTCTCAATAAATGTTGGGAACTAAATTCATGCACTATTTGCTAACAAAATTATAAAGATGAGAAGAGCATATTCCAAAAGGTACCAATAATTTATTTCTGGGCTTTTGGTTATAGTTCAGTTCAGTTGCTAAGTCATGTTCGACTCTTTGTAACCCCACGGACTGCAGCAACCAGGCTTGCCTGTCCTTCAGCATCTCCCAGTGTTTGCTCAAACTCATGTCCATTGAGTTGGTGATGACATCCAAACATCTCACCCTCTGTCGCCCCCTTCTACTCCTGCCCTCAAACTTTTCCAGCATCAGGGTCTTTTCCAATGAGTTAGTTATTCGCATCAGGTGGCCAAAGTATTCAAGTTTCAGCTTCAGCATCAGTCCTTCCAATTAATATTCAGGACTGATATCTTTTAGGATTGACTAATTTGATCTCCTTGCAGTCCAAGGGACTCTCAAGAGTCTTCTCCAACATCATAGTTCAAAAGCATCAATTCTACAGCACTCAGCTTTCTTTATGGTCCAACTTTCACATACATACATGACTACTGGAAAAATCATAGTTTTGACTAAGCAGAACTTTGTTGGCAAAGCAATGTCTCTGCTTTTTAATATGCTGTCTAGGTTGGTCATACCTTTTCTTCCAAAGAGCAAGTCTTTTAATTTCATGGCTGCAGTCACTAACTGCAGTGACTTTGGAGCCAAGTCCCTCACTGTTTTCCCTGTTTCCCCTTCTATCTGCCATGAAGCGATGGGACCAGATGTCAAGATCTTAAGTTTTCTGAATGCTGAGTTTTAAGCCAGCCTTTTCACTCTCCTCTTTCACTTTCATCAAGAGGCTCTTTAGTTCCTCTTCACTTTCTGCCATAAGGGTGGTTTCACCTGCATATCTGAGGTTATTGATATTTCTCCTGGCAAACTTGATTCCAGCTTGTGCTTCACCCAACCCGGCATTTTGCATGATGTACTCCGCATATAAGTTAAATAAGCAGGGTGACAATATACAGCCTACATACTTCTTTCCCAATTTTCAACCAGTCCGTTGTTCCATGTTCAGTTCTAACTGTTGCTTCTTGACCTGCATATAGATTTCTCAGGAGGCAGGTCAGGTGGTCTGGTATTCCCATCTCTTTAAGAATTTTCCATAGTATGTTGTTGTGATCCACAGTGTCAAAGGCTTTGGCGTAGTCAGTACGGCAGAAGTGGATGCTTTTCTGGAATTCTCTTGCTTTTTCTGTGATCCAACAGATGTTGACAATTTGACCTCTGGTTCCTCTGCCTTTTCTCAGTCCAGTTGAAGTTCTTGGTTCACGTACTACTGAAGCCTTGCTTGGAGAATTTTCAGCATTACTTTGCTAGTGTGTAAGATGAGTACAATTCTGTGGTAGTTTGAACATTCTTTGGCATTACCTTTCTTTGGGATTGGAGTGAAAACTGACCTTCTCCAGTCCTGTGGCCACTGCTGAGCTTTCCAGATGTGCTGGCGTACTGAGTGCAGCACTTTTAACAGCACCATCTTTTAAGTTTTGAAACAGCTCAGCTGGTATTCCGTCACCTTCACTAGCTTTGCTCGTATGTTTCCTAAGGCCCACTTGACTTTGCATTCCAGGATGTCTGGCTCTAGGTGAGTAATAACACCATGTGGTTATCTGGGTCATTAAGATCTTTTTTGTATAGTTCCTCTATGTATTCTTGCCACCTCTTCTTAACATTTTATGCTTCTGTTAGGTCCATACCATTTCAGTCCTTTATTGAGCCCATCTTTGCAGGAAATGTTCCCTTTGTATCTCTAATTTTCTTGGAACAGATCTCTAGTCTTTCCCATTCTATTGTTTTCCTCTATTTCTTTGCATTGATCATTTAGAAAGGCTTTCTTATTGCTCCTTGCTATTCTTTGGAACTCTGCATTCAAATGGGTATATCTTTCCTTTTCTCCTTTTCCTTTTGCTTCTCTTCTTTTCTCAGCTATTTGTAAGGCCTCCTCAGACAACCATTTAGCATTATGCACTTCTTTTTCTTGGAGATGGCTTTTCTTTTTTTGATTATAAGGCAATTTTAATTTTGCTAGTACTTTTTCTGCTGCTGAGTCACTTCAGTTGGGTCCAACTCTTTGGAACCCCATGGACTGTAGCCTGCAAGACTCCTTTATTCACCGGATTTTCCAGGCAAGAATACTGGAATGGGTTGCTATTTACTCCTCCAGGAGATCTTTCCAATCCAGCGATCAAACCCACATCTTTTATGTCTTCTGCATTGACAGGCGGGTTCTTCACTACTAGCACCACCTGGGAAGCCCCATAAATGTGAACTCATTTAGTTCATTTCAAATTTAAATAATTTTTAACTTTTTCAGTTTTAAATTTTGAGTAACTCTTATTTTTATTTTAAAAAGTTATTTATTTTTAATCATACAAGTAATATATTTTTTCATTTAAAATGTAATCCTTGAGTCCTCAAAAAGGGAAACATAAAATACCATTTGCTACAGCAATTCCACTCTGGATATATACTCAAAAGAACTGAATACAGATGTACAAAGGCTTGTACACAATGTTTACAGAAGCACTATTCAAAGAATAGAGGAGGAAGAAATGAAGAACCCCAGGGTTAGTAGAAGGAAAGAAATCTTAAAAATTAGGGCAGAAATAAATGCAAAAGAAACTAAAGAGATCATAGCAAAAATTAACAAAGCTAAAAGCTGGTTTTTTGAAAAAATAAACAAAATTGACAAACCATTAGCAAGACTCATTTAGAAACAAAGGGAGAAGAACCAAATTAACAAAATTAGAAACGAAAATGGAGAGATCACAACAGACAACACCGAAATACAAAGGATCATAAGAGACTACTACCAGCAGCTCTATGCCAATAAAATGGACAACTTGGAAGAAATGGACAAGTTCTTAAAGAAGTATAACTTTCCAAAACTGAACCAGGAAGAAATAGAAGATCTTAACAAAACCATCACAAGCAAGGAAATCGAAACTGTAATCAGAAATCTTCCAGCAAACAAAAGCCCAGGACCAGATGGCTTCACAGCTGAATTCTACCAAAAATTTAGAGAAGAGCTAACACCTATCTTACTCAAACTCTTCCAGAAAATTGCAGAAGAAGGTAAACTTCCAAACTCATTCTATGAGGCCACCATCACCCTAATTCCAAAACCAGACAAAGATGCCACAAAAAAAGAAAACTACAGGCCAATATCACTGATGAACATAGATGCAAAAATCCTTAACAAAATTCTAGCAAACAGAATCCAACAACATATTAAAAAAATCATACATCATGACCAAGTGGGCTTTATCCCAGGAATGCAAGGATTCTTTAATATCCGCAAATCAATCAATGTAATACACCACATTAACAAATTGAAAAATAAAAACCATATGATTATCTCAATAGATGCAGAAAAAGCCTTTGACAAAACTCAACATCCATTTATGATTAAAACTCTCCAGAAAGCAGGAATAGAAGGAACATACCTCAACATAATAAAAGCTATATATGACAAACCCACAGCAAGCATCACCCTCAATGGTGAAAAATTGAAAGCATTTCCCCTGAAATCAGGAACAAGACAAGGGTGCCCACTCTCACCACTACTATTCAACATAGTTTTGGAAGTTTTGGCCACAGCAATCAGAGCAGAAAAAGAAGTAAAAGGAATCCAGATAGGAAAAGAAGAAGTGAAACTCTCGCTGTTTGCAGATGACATGATCCTCTACATAGAAAATCCTAAAGACTCTACCAGAAAATTACTAGAGCTAATCAACAAATACAGTAAAGTTGCAGGATATAAAATTAACACACAGAAATCTCTTGCATTCCTATACACTAACAATGAGAAAACAGAAAGAGAAATTAAGGAAACAATACCATTCACCATTGCAACAAAAAGAATAAAATACTTAGGAGTATATCTACCTAAAGAAACAAAAGACCTAAACATAGAAAACTATAAAACACTGATGAAAGAAATCAAAGAGGACACAAACAGATGGAGAAATATACCGTGTTCATGGATTGGAAGAATCATTATTGTCAAAATGGCTATACTACCCAAAGCAAACTATAGATTCAATGCAATCCCTATCAAACTACCAACGGTATTTTTCACAGAACTAGAACGAATAATTTCACAATTTGTATGGAAATACAAAAAACCTCGAATAGCCAAAGTAATCCTGAGAAAGAAGAAGGGAACTGGAGGAATCAATCTGCCTGACTTCAGACTATACTACAAAGCCACAGTCATCAAGACAGTATGGTACTGGCACAAAGACAGAAATATAGATCAATGGAACA